ATCATTGCTATATATGAGAGTCATTAGGACTTCGGTAATGAGTTCCTTGATGCAGTACGAAAACAAACAATCTTGTTTCTGAACCTTTTGCCTTCACTTTACAACAGCAAAGACTAGATAAAGAAAATTGAAGGAATTATTGTTCGTAGATCTAATGAGAACTTCGTTCTTGACTAATAACTGGAATACAAATATCATTTCGTTTGAAATGTGGAATCGTATATGGTGGATTATAACCAAAATAAAGAATATCATTTTTATTTGAAGATAATTGAATTTCGTCTCTATGAGCAGCTTCTCGAAGTTCTTTTTCTTTGGCTGCATTTTTTTCTGTTGTCATTGTCATATTAAATGTAATACAAGCCAGATCAAATGAATTAGTTTGTTCAACAATTCGAATATTTTTATCATTAGGTATTGGAATTTGATCTAATGAAGTAAATTTTGTTGGAGACATTATAAATGACATTGTACGCTTTATACTACAATCATTTTCAGTTTCTTGAATTATAACTGGAGCCGTCATCGACATTTTTGTTTGTGTTTCATTATATCCAGATATATATCCATATAAAGAAAAAAATCCAGATCCTGATTCGGACAAAAAACCGGTGTTTAATGGAACTTCATACGAAATTTGTGCGAGATATAGTTTATTATATCGACGAATTTCGTAACCATTCTTTTTAGCAACAACATCATATGACGGAGTTTCATTATTTATTACACCTAATATTGTTGAAGTCATTTTAAAACAGAATTGAATATTCTATAATATGTTTTTATTCTGTTATCTTTAAAAGCACTGTGAAGTTACGATTAAAGAATTCTATGGATTATTAAACAGTCTGCCTAGTGGTGCTTATATCATTTTGTCTTTCTTCCTGAGAAAGAAAAAGAAACGTCGGCTTTTTTCCGTCCTTTTTTTTAAGTAGAAAGTGATCTAACTTATAGAAATGTCATTCTTTTTTTATTAAGCATTTTTTGCCCTATGACCATGACGATCCTAAAGGGATAATAGAGCTCAAGCACCGTTTGTACCGTGTGTAAGTTGAATTAAAAAATATAAAAGCCAGCAGATAGAATAAAATAAAGAAAAGAACAAACGAACGAAAGAAGTACTAAAAAAAAGAGGATAGAGGACATAGAATAAACGTGCAATAGAAAAAAAAAGAATAAAAGAAAGCAGCGAGCAGTAAGTAGATACTATGTTTTAGGAATATGAGTATGTGTGTCTATTCTTTTTCTTTTTTTCTCTCTTTCTGTTTCTTCTATACTCAGATTTTCATCCTCACGTCATGTTGATGATGTTCTCCCTTCTTCTTGGAAAAGATGTAATTTGTCGCGGAAAAAAAATGATGAAGATGATCTCAGAGTGCTTAATCAATAAAAAAAATTATGAAAATGATCTCGTTTTTTACTGAGTACAAAATTAGAGAAAAAGATCTCGGTTTTTTCTGCAGATATGCACATATGGTTATGTAGAGGTTAGTGTATATGATGAATAGAGAAAAATGAACAGAATAGTAAAAATATTTCATCTGATGGCATGATGTATGTTTACGAACGACTGGTGGAGAAGCATAATTTACAAAGCTCTTTTGAATTCTGTGTAATCTACTACATACGGGCGTGCTCAACCATATGATATCCCAATTCTTATTTGTTTATGTAGCTTCATCCACATATCAGAAAAACGTGTTTCTTTTTGCCAGTTATAGTACACATATGTTGCTAATGATCTGTCATTGTTTGAGCTCTATGTCTCACTAGGACCAAGAGATATCAAGTGCTTTCTTATAAACATTCTGTTAAAGTACTTCGTACCTAATTTGTTAACATACACAAAGTTTTATTTAGAAAACTAAAACAACTTGAAGTATAAGCAACTAAGTTCTACTATAAAATAGTTAATCAAGAAATACAGCTGACTTATCATGTTCTTCGCTTACGAATAGAATGTTTAGTCAAGTTAAGATTTCATAAGGCAGAAACAACTTGTGCAATCTTACTAATCTTATCGAAGTCATCAATACCTCCTCTGTATATACTACCGAAAATAGCATAAGTTTTGAGACGCTGATTAATATTTTCGATAGTGGCTCTTGCACTATTAATGTCACGGTTGAAGTTTTTGTCTTCAGTTGTTAATTCACCTTTATAAGGTTTCTTTTTTAGAGTGATGACATATTCTTCTCCAATATAACCTTTGTCAGCAATAATTTGGATAGATTCTTTTGTATGTTCTAATAATCCTGATTATCTCAGAATTGTAATATCATGTACACTTCCATGGTAACATTCAGATACATGTACTATTCCATGATTAAAGCCACAAGCTATTTGTACTTTAAATGCATAATTTGGTGCACTTTTTGAATAATAATATGCTTTACGTTGTTGTGAATCATAAGATTACGGAATGGCAGTGGCAGTTGAATCAACTATTAATTTATGATGCTCCTCAGGTTCATGTATTGCGTTTCTATTAGCTATATCGGATGGTAAGAAAACCAGTGCTGGATATACACATGAATGTAATATATCGACAACCTTTGATAAAACATGATACACCGTTGATGAACTCAGATCGAATTCGGTAGCCATATCACGTTCAGCATGATAATGCATTAAGTACCATAACGTAACCACAAGCAAATTCATAGGAGATAAAGATGGTTTACTGACACTATTTGAATGTTCCTTGATTCGATGGTAGCAGTAATCTATAAGTGGTTGTTCACACATCAAATATGACTCTTGTACTTGTTCATTATCATGCCCTGTATGTTGTACACAAGATTCATTAGTACGACCCCATTCAGACCACGGACGTTGTTCTACAAAATGCAAACATAAAACTATATCGGCGAGTAGTTGTTGCATATTCTTGTGACATAAAATAATGAAATAGGAAGCACACGTGTAAACTGAGAGGATGAATGTTCCTTACCATCATTTAAGGTTTGAAATTGTTCAATAGCAACTTGTTTTTCCCCCATTTTCTGTGATCTGTCTTCTTCGAGTTCTGACGTGCAATAAATACAGCTGTCACGGTGCCGATAATAGTTCGTCATTCCGCTTTTTGCTTTGTTCTGAATATACACGCATTCCTTTGCGACAACAGGACCTCTTTTATCCTTCATGTTTTTAGAAAAGCGTCTGCCGCCTTCAATTTTAATTAAGCTCCCTCCTTCCAAAGCTCAATATGAGCGAAGGACACCAACTTGTTATTAATAAAGATGAAGGGATGTGGGTTTATGCCTTCTTTTCTAGCATACCCACACTCCACACACACCCTTTGTGCTGTAAGATCAGCAATTTTTGGAGCACTGGCATATAATGACGAGTCGAGATTCTCGTCATTTAGTATTGATTTTTGATAAACTTGGCTCAATAGGATAGATTTCTAATTATTTTGAAATATGCCAGGTGACAGCCATGATCCTGTGTTAAAAAAATGTTAGTTCCGAAGTAGATAAAACAAACTGCACAAAACATTTTTTTGCCCTAAGTGAATAAATAACTATCACATGATATTGTGCGTTTTTCGGTTTATAATGTGCATGGCCATTTTTTTCTCGTTCTTTCATTTTATTTGTCTATGTATAACGCAGAGCCAGCAGTGCAAACACCATACATGATTGGCTACTAAGTTAGTAGCTTTATAACAGCGGATGTCGTTTTAAAATATACACACGCATAATAAACAACAACAACGAGCAAAAAAATACTTGAGATTATTTAAATTCTAAAAAAAGTAGACATTTTAAAAAAGGACATTGTTATGTAGCATGTTGAGAAAAAATTATCCATGCTTTTCTTCTTGTTTTTTAAGTAAGATAGCAGGAAGACGAACTAACAATCCAAACGATGAATAATTGAAAGACGCAATTTCTGCTTCTTACACAATAATATGATGGCAAGGTTTTTAGTTGAAATATCTAGGATGGATTTTCATAGAGAACTGTTGGATGTTCGAAATCTTTGAAGATAGTTAGATGAAGTCAAGTATTGCAACTGAAAAGTTTGTTTTAAACTCAACATATAATTTTTCTTGATGATAACACAAACTAAAATTATATTTAAAACATGAAGGGATTCAATCACTTCTAATTTAGAAGTAAACAACGATGTCGAGTAAGAAGTTATCCGATAACACCATCGAATCATGTTGAAAGTGTTCGTGATAGTATAGAATTACTCTGATCATATTAGAAGAATTCCGTAGAAACTCAAATGTTCGTCCAAAATGAAACTTATAATGATGTGTGTGTAGAACTTTGAGTTTATGATGAAAACGATTCGTTACTCTTGATCATTGTAGATATTCAGTGTTGTCCTTAGAAATTCAAGCAAGCTTGGTTTACAGTGCGCATAATTTATTGGAATAAAAGATAATAGAAATCGATAAAAATAAAAATAAAAATAAAAAGAGAAAACAGTTTACAATATGATAGAAACCAAAAACCTAATTGGGTATGAATATGAAGAAAAACTAGCTAGTGGATTATTCTGGTTTATGTTGTTAATAGGTAATAGCAATGTTCGATTTCCATCGTGGATTTG